CCTTGGCAGCTCCTGACTATTTTATCCATGTACAACACAAACAGGATATGGGACAGGACGCAGCCTTGGCAGTTCTAACGCAGACCCTTTTCGACTTAACGCCATTTACTATGACGGTGATAATTGGATGGTTCATCGTAACTGGCCATCGACCTCTTATGCCTGCAGGTACAACCATAGATTGTTGCGCGGGGTCCGGTCATTGACTTTCTTTGGATCCACAGTACACATAAACCGAATGAACGAGCTCCCAAAATTTCTTAACGAAATGACGTAGGGCGAATTACTAGTAAGATTTGGTACAACCAGAACGGACGCCATACAATTAATCTCGCATTTTAACGACAGTTATTTCGCGGCACCACCTTTCTGGCACCTTTGTGCAAACCTTACCCGGGAGCACAATGAAATAATACATCGATGACTGAAATACTATTTTTTGAACAGAAGCACTACAAGCCCGTTCTGCAGTTCGCCGGAATCGTCCTCGTAGCCATTGCGGTGTCATAACATGCTCTGTTTGTCTGAACTTTTAGATATTACTTGGCTGATTTCATCAATTCCAGCAGCCTTTCCATTTTTCAAACTTTTCACAGGATGTGTAATTTCATCTACAGAGATATATGCCTTTCCCTTCTGCTCACAGGCGAGTTTTCCTGCGGCTGCTCGCGGTTAAGGAGTTCTTCAAAGTACTCTCGCCATCACAGAAGTAAGTTCTCCTTTTCTGTAAGGGTGCATCCAGACAGGTTCACAAGGATTCTTAGACTGCTCTTCTTTTCACCTTGAAGGTAACGGATGGTCCGACAAAATATTCTGTTTGCTGTTTGGCAGTTCAACTCCAACAGCTCACCGAATTTCTCCCAAGAAATTCCAAAACGATAAACACCAAACATCAGGTTAAACAGTCAAACGGGTCAAACGTCTTCGCTGGTGAGACCCTTGATTTATAAACAGGTGCTGTGTCTTGTGTCATCGCCAATGGTGCACTATGAACTTTTAGGTCAGAATAGGTTTTATCGTTGCATTAGACAGCATTCTTGCGCATATGATCATACTGATTGTCAGATCAGGAAAGAGGTGGGAAAATCAAAAATGAGCGATTATGTTCATCTGTTCCCAAATCTCCTTCGGCTATTGGGCAGACCGTTATTGGTGCAAATAATAAACCCTCTAGTTAACCAGTAACAGGTGCTCGTTTTAAAAGCGCCAAAAACAGGTAAGTGTGGTAAACGCTAAACCGCAAAATTTCAAAGAAACGTTTATTCTGGTGTTGATTTATAATTCATGAAACAAATTAATAGTGTTATAAATTCATATATTATAACATGAAGCAGACAGAAAGACGTGATCATCGGTGTCACCTTTACAATGGCGTTGTACGGCTGCTTCTGACGTCGCAAACAAAACGTCGCCTAGTAATTTAAAAAAATGGTTATCATTTTCAATTTGAACTTCTCTGATTCCTGGAAATTTTCCGTATTTGCAAAACGTTGCAGACGAACGTTTTATGCTTCAGTCAGATCTTTCATTACGACTAGATCCTTGCGTTTGCCGGGTTTGAACAAGTTGAAGTAAGATTTTAGTGGTCTACGCTTCTTGCGGCATTTGATTATCTTGACGTTCTCGTAAAGCGCTGCTGGTCGGATGAGCTTGCTTTCTCTCCAAGACATGAACCACAGCAGAAATCCGGCCAGGAACAAGAAAGACACGGTGCTGAAGATCATCAGCGAGCTTGTTTTGCTTGACGGCTGCAGTGCTTTCACGAAGTGAACCACGAAACGGTCTCTTCGAGGCTTGTGATACGTGATATTCCATGTATATTGCGTCATGACTCGATTATAAGGGAACGAACTCAGCAAATGTAATTTGCAAGCAGTGATTTTCCGCCATGATATGGAGTTTCGACTTTCGCAAAAGAATCGTGACAAACATCGAAATTTCGAGAACGTTTAAGTTTGCACGGAAACAGCGAGAAGTAAATGTTTTGAGTTTTTCTGGCATATGCACCAAACCATTGACGAATCCAGCTTCTAAAAAGACGTTTAGACTAATAATACATAATACGAACAAAATAACGATGAAATCATCACACAATAAATAATCGGCTTTATTTTAGACACCGGCATAAACCGAGTCAGATTGAGGCAGTGAATGCACGCGTATTTTAGCAGGTTGTATGGAAAATTCAAGATTATTTTCAGTAGTGATTCTGTGGCTATTTTATTTTTTTTCTGGTATAAAATGCGCCGCAATAAGGCTTAGTTATAACTTGGTTTTGCCTATCAGCGTAGTTCATACCAAAACTGAATTCTGTACGGTTGTTTAAGCCTATTCCATTGGCTTGATTAAATCTTGGATAGGAGTACAGCTGTTGCGACATGTATGAGATAAATATGTCCATAAATCACGAGTAAATGTAAAATAAATTATTAAAGGAAGTATGTAGCCATTGCAATGTCAGCTTTCCTTATTCTTTTATAGAGGAGTTATTTTAGGCTCCCTTCTTTTTGTGAAGCTAGTGATGAGGCATTGATCTCCATTTTCTAGTCATAGATATCGTATTTTAAAGGCAGAGTCGACATCAACTACGTGCTAAGCATAAAGCGTAGTCCGTTGTTTCCCTCCCATCGAATGGTACTCATTTATCAACCCCAGACGGAAGAAAGGTAAGTTACTCTGACCTTGTCTCGAATCTGGGAAATTTCCATTCTGAGTACCACGCTCGAGCAACTGAGCAAACTCGATCTGAAGCAACGTGTCAAAAATTCCTTACTCAAAAAATTCATGGTTACGACAAAGATTGCTCATCTCGGAATCGATCCCTACACCTCCGGAGTTTCAAGTCGACCCATTGAACAGCAGGGGGCAAAGACGAAGTGAAATATTGGCCACCATTTCGATTTTGGACTGAGAAAGACGCGGGTTAAACTGACTGTAGATTTAATGTCAACGAAACATCCACGTGACAGATTTAGAATTTTTGACAGTCGCTTTAAAACCTTCATCGTAGGCGTTTCGCTAAATCATGAATAATCGATATCCATTTGAATTCAGACAGTTCAAGATATCACCAAAGCACTTGCAGAGGTACCTGTGTAAAATGGATCCAAACTTTTTTAAATTATTTATAATCGGCATGCATAAACTTCTAAGGAACATAGTATGATGAATAATATACTAACTGATTAACAATTCACTCTTACCACTGTTTTGACTACGTTACTGACACGTGGATAATTGTCGAGGTACCGCGTGCGCAGCGCACAATCGAATGTTACGGCGAGTGCATAAACGAGTAGATCGGCGCATTGGTAGACTGGAAATCTGAGTCAAGTGACCAAATTCACGCCGCACCTTTGTCTCAAATTTGCATATAATTAGAATTTAAGGAATGACCTCTAGCAGATATCAAGTCTCAATCAGTCTCATAGAATTCCAGGAACAGTTCTGAAAATGCCAGACTAATTAGCTACGATTGCCGGTGTTGATTTTTCAGGAAATTTCTATTGCCTTAGCCACAATGCCATTGGCCAGAGGGCAAGACAAAGATATTTTGCAAAACCAAATGAAGAGGTAAAGTGAATGTGAAAAGGCTCTGAAGTATCATGCCATATGCCATATTACCGTTGACTGACAGATACCCAACTCTCAATCATAAGAGTCTATTCAAAATATTACAGTATAATGTCATGATCCAAGTTGGTATCCAGGGCAAATGCTCAAAAACCGTAGATCTTTGACCTACCTGAACGGCCCCCTAAGAATTTAGGCAACGAATAGTGTAGAAATACGAAACTAACGATTTTAATCCTTCGGTAAAGGTTTCAGCATAGATTGGCATAAAGATGCCATCATTCGTATTGCTGCACTGCTGGTAGACGACTCCCTCGTTCATGACAGACTTTGACCGGAAACGTTTTATCGTACGAAGAGTACATCTAATTTTACCTGGCCAAACCATGTGATCCAGTATTGTTCAATTTTGCCAATTGCTCGCGAGGCGATGTCAGATTCGTTCTATGAAAGTCTGAAAGTAAAAGTTTGCTATTTTGTCGAGTAGGAAGAAAATATGCAGCCACTATATCTGAGGAATTATTTCGAAAGGTCAGATATAATAAATCTAATGATTGAAACTGTTAACGCTTTGTTTATGCTTGAGTGCCAACAATGACAAAATCTTTATGCATATTGCAAATAATATCCTATGAGAATTATGGGGTATTCATGGCGTACACAGGACTCATCTAAAAGCGATAGGATGAGAAGCAGCAATGCAGCCGCTCTGCTAATGGTCTGATTTTCCATAGTTTCCGAATCCCTGTCGTGCATTGCCAGCACTGCACTTCATCATTTTATTTACAACTCGACGATATATAGTTATTGCGTGAAAGCCAAGCAAGTGTGAGAAGTTGACGCATTTATTGAGGCTAATCTGTTTTGATCTCTACAGAATCAGCGTCACTCATAGAAACAACTCATGATCGATCTCAGTTGCTCAGGTGCCTCCAATACACCGCGTGAGCATGCTCTCTTCTACAGCAGTTACTCTATCCACATACGCCAATCGTATTTGCTAACCGCTTCCGCAAGGATGAGTTTTCATTTCAGGTTATGCTAATGGATTACACG